TTTGTGTTGGATAGAAGAAAAGAAGGCAACCTAACCAATCAGTTGGACAAGAACTTGCAATAAATATATCTCTTTTTAATAAAATTTTACTATTGTTAATCGTCTACACTCAGTCAATACACAATTTTTACTTTTAAAATGTAATCAATTTAAGGGACAAGTGCTTTAACTTTTTAAAAAATAGATCAATTACATAGGAAAGATAGTATATAAAACTTCACGCAATTGAATTTAATGTTTACAAATAAAATAGATAGCAAGCAAGTCTAAGAAAGCACTTTGATCTTGTCCAAGGCTAAAAAGAATAAGACCACTACTATAAGCAATTTAGGAAAAGATTGGCTTCGTAAAGAAATAAGGGGGAAATAATCAAAATGTTACACTTGGCTTTTAAAAGCAGCAAAACAAAGGACTAGTCAAAGGAAGAAATCAAACAACAATCAAGTGTTATGAGATCACTGCATGTATCACACGACACAATTAAACTCAGTTAAAAACCAAATTTTAAGTAAACGAAAGAAATAGATTTTTGAAAAAAGAAGAAAACCAGAAATAAAACACTACCAAATGATTCATCATCATCAGCAACAGCAAAAGTGTGCCTTTGAAGAAACACACTGTCGATAGACGAGATAATGGCCATGCTTTCTTCTCAATAGCATCATATTACAGAGTTAGTAAAAATGTAAAACCAGATTCTGAAATTATAGTAACCTCAAATCCTGGAAAATTAAAGACAGATACCTTTGGTGCTGCATCTTCTGTCTGTGGAAGTTCAGCCTCAGATACAGCCATCAAGGTTGGATTCTCAGAACTGGCCATGATTCTCAACCTTTTCGAATGCTTTACTAGGAAAGTACCACCCTCACCCAAGTCATTGTCAGTTTGAACATTTTGATCACCTTCCCAAGAACCATGAAGAGTTCTTTTACAGCTTGGCCGCACAATGCTTTTGTTTCCTACCAACTCATCCTCCCACAGAAGGTAGCCGCAAGATCCATGGTTCTGTTTGAAAGTACATTATTAATGCTAATTAGATATAAGCAAAAATAGATCATGAAGCAGCAAATCCAATTCTACAGAACAAGATATCCATAAATTTCAAGCCAAACAAAAATGATGCTTAGTTACTAACCATACAATCTGTTAGAAAAATCTGCTAAACTCATCTATTACTATTACTACACTTCCAAAACATAAATTTAAAAGCCAAGCGCCTCCATTGAAGTATGGTAAAGGTAGAAGAAAATTTCACCATTCCACTGGGACATATCTGCTAGCAAAACGCAATTTAACACATCTTTTGTGAAAGAACGTCTATTTTTACTCTTGTTTAAGAATCTTTTACGTAAAATATCATTAATATAAATATAATTATTAGAGAGAGAAAAATTTAAAACAAAAATAACCTAAATATATTTAAGAGTGACCATAAACTCACCTTGTATGATTGATCAATTTTTAAAAAGTCAAAATAAATTTGAAAATATAATCAATTACAATACTTTGACATTTTAAAAAATAGATGAACCACAGGTAGTGTGTTAAAAAGCGTGCTTTTAGTATTTTTCTTCAAATCGTTACTTAGAAAATCAATAACTCACAACACACAAAGCTGTCAAAATTAGAAATCAATAAGAAGCAGTGAGGCTTTTGCTGATTACACACTAACAGAAAGAGTCCTCAACCGAGCAACGTAACAAAAATCAAAATCATCCAACAACTTGCCATTCCCACAAAACAAAAGAAAAACCATACATACCTCTTTAATCGGGCAAGTAAAATGGTATTTAACAACACGAAGGCTCTGTGTTCCCTCAACCCTTCTACACACTCCAGCTCCGCACTCACACTCAGGATACTTAAAAGCTGGAGGCTGCAAATCACTATCATCAACGCGATCATCGCACCACTTGACAAACTCTGTACATTTAGCCCCCTAAACAAAACGCCAAAAGAAACAAAACAATAAAAATCTGGGAACCACGAAAGGAAGAAACTTGAACGTGTTAGAAGCATACCCTTTTGATGGGGCAAGCATAGTACTTCCTACCCTTGTTTTTTTCACTGTTAGCGGTTTTCACCTCGCAAAACCCGTGGCCACAACGGCACCAAATGTTACTGGCACAGTGGGAATCGTTACTGAAGGGTCTTGCATTGGAGGACTTGTGAGGGCAGTGCCAAGACCAGTGACCTTTCTGGTGGCACACGAAACACGTGTCGTTTTCCATTCGTTTGATGAGGTTTGGATTGTAGCGGCTAAGAATCTCTGGAGTTCTTGGGTAAAGTTGAGAACAGAATGGTTGTGAATGTGACTGTAACTGTGGTGAAGGTGAGTGAAGTGGTAGAGCCATGTTTGTCTCTGTTTCACACGTTTTTTTCTCGTCCATGTGATCAATTGTTTGCAACGGTGATTGGTACAAAATCGACGATCCAAGTGTGAAGAGGAAGCAGAGCGGAAAATTCAACAGAAGTCTACATTGTGGTTTTCATGAACAACGGCAAGGTGTGTTTATATACATGTAAGAGAAATGAACGTTTCATGAGTGCAGTGGTTATTTGAAAGTTAAAATTTGGGAAGACAGCACAGCAAAATCCCAAAAAAAATAAAATAAAGAAGAGTGCAGAAGAAGTTACTTGGAGTTTTTTTAATTGGATAAAATGTAACTTGCAAGCTCCTCAATATTTTGAGTTATTTTCTTCTTTTTTATAATTTTTTCAGCCTATGCTTTTCTTTGTTTCGATGAAAACTTATCATGTAAGAATAAAAAAGTGTAAAGAAAAGTTTTCATGTATTGAAACTTTTTATTTTATATTAAAAAATAATCTTTTATGTGACAATTAAAAAAAACTTCTCACACAAAATCTAAAAAAAGCGTTACAATATTTTTTTATTTTCCATATCATATTGAAAATATTTTTAACATAATATAAAATAAATAAAATTATTACTTTTGTCGACTACTCTTGAGATAAATTTTAATTTTATCCTCTAATTTTTTATTCATTTTAACTTTTAAAAAGTCTTTTCTACTTAAAAATATTAATTTTATTAAAAAACTATCTTTTTTTGCTATTTGTATTATTCATTATCTTTCTTAAATTTCTACTTTATCTTTTCTATGCATCTTTCTTTTTTTCTTTTTCTTTTCACTTTTATTTATTTATTTATTTATTTCTTTTTCATTATTTGCTTTTCTTCTTCGTCTTCAAATATCACATAATGGAAGATGATGCTACCCTCCACTATAAAAGAAACAACTTTTTTTTTTGCGATAAAAGTTGCCGGTGGCTTCGAAACGAAGATATTTGTGGCAGTGAGGTACCACTAACATTGACATAGAAATTGTCACATCTCATTTGCCTTAAAAGAAAGTCATTAAAAATCCTGTTTTAGCCAAAATAAATAAATTTAATATTACACTAGTTTGATAAATTTGAAAGAAAATTACACAATTAAAGTATATAAAAAAAAAAACTTTTTGTAGGATAAATAATGCATTTGCAACTAGAGCATTAATAGCATCACTAACACGAAAAGCAGCAGTTTACCACACACCCTATGCATATGACGTAATTTTAAGAAGTCTATGTATGTTACATAGCTGCCTTTTATAACGTTACCATTATCCCTGTGTAAATGTCGAAAAGGTAAACAATCGTTTTCTTTTTTTTAAGTTAAAAAATTTATACTGTATATAAATTTACATAAAATCTGCTTAACGAATATAAGAAAGAAAAAATTAATGATATTTAAAATATAAAATTACACTGCTATTCAAAAAGTCAAAATCTGAAAAATAATTAACTTTATTACATAAGTAAATTTCTAACTTTTCCACAACCGTGTAAGTAAACATTTCTTATCATAACAACGATTCAAAATTTTATTAAGCAATCCTTACGATGCTTTCTCTGTCTTAATGATCTTTTATCAATGAGAAAAAATATTTAGACATAACTTGTAGCCTTGTAGGTTAATTTTTGTTATAAGTAATTTTTTTTAGTATTTTGTTAACTATAATTATAAGTTTTTTATTGATCTATTTACTCACCAAATTAATAAGTGTTTTATCTATACAAATGTATGATCTTAAAATATAAATTATAATCTTTGATTAAAATTATAAATTTTTAATCTCTTAAAAAATTACATTTTTTTTCATATGGCACCTTATTTTTAATTTTTTTTAAAAATATTCACTAATTTTTTTTAGGTTAAAATAAATATTGTCCTTGCAATTTTGTTACGTTTTACTGTTAATAATGCTAATAATAGTAAGAATTAAAATATAACAAAATATTCTTATACTAAAATGCAAGTTCTTTTAAAAAATAATTACTTTGTAAACGAATGTCATCTACAAAAGTAAAATGATTCATGCTGGGGTTGAGCTTGAAAACATCTTTATCTTGATCGATAATCTGAGAACCTTTTATGAACTAATTAAATTGGCCATAAATGTATTTATGGCACACTATTTGCTATTAATTGATTAATTTGTTGGAATGGTGTATGTTATATAAGATGTAAACAGATAGCATCTGGAAATCCCACGGAATGTGGGGTACATAGACTACTGCTCTGAACAACCACAACAAAATTACTTAAATATGAAAACACAATAAAATAAAATAAAAAAGTACACAAAAGGAAGGGTAGGTAGGGAAGAAACTCAGGTAAATATAAATAGAATTAAAAATTTGAATAAGTCACCTCAAGTAAATGAGTAATTTTAGATACAAAGAGAATGAAGAAAGAAAAAAGATGGGGGGAACAAACTCAACAAAAATTCAAGGGGAAAAGTTTAAGTCACCTCAATGTGTAAAAACTTAAGCTTGATAAGAAGTGCAGTAGCAGACGCCTAATAATATAACACAGGATACAAACATGAGACTGATCCTGCACAGCACAGGGGAAAAGTTAGAGAACAAGTTAAATATACATTATTCTTAAAAACTCTACTACATAAGCTTCACCAATATTGAGTAGTGACTAATTAATTTTCCAATTCAAGTTTGGCCTTCTCCAGTGATGCCTTTGCTGCAATTTGCTTTGCTCCTCTCTCTTCGCTTCGTTTCCTTGCTATTTCTGATTGCTCAGCTCTTTCCTTCAATGTTATGTCAGCCGCCAACATAATTCTTTTCAGATCACCAAGATCATTCTCTATCTTCAAGGTCTCCAACTCACGAGATTTCAATTGGTTTTGCTTTTCATGGAGCATGGCCTTGAGATTAGAGACCTGTTCACAAAGCAATTGTTTGTGGTGATTCGATGCATCGAGCATAGCCTCAGTCTTGGCATAGTTGTCTTGGATATGAGAATATCTCATTTTCTCCTCCTCAAAGAGTTTATTGTGCTCCTCTATAGTAAGGGAATTTTCCATGGACTTGTCTATTTCTGCAATTGATGATGCAAAATTGATATAGTCCATGACATGATCAGAAAATTGTTTATAATAAACTCCTAAACTATTTAATAATTCAAATGTTGTTTCTGCTGCCTCTCTCATGGACTCATGCTCGCGAGGATCCAAGGTCTCCAGATCAATGAGAAGGCGTTGCTGTGTAAACAAGACCACTTCTCTATGCCGTTGTGCCTTTGACATAATTGACTTTCTTTCACCCTGTGATTTATCGGGACTAACTACATCACGAGAAACCTCAGTATGGCAACCGGTTGAAAGTTGGGTATGTTGACTAACATTGCTAATAGCAAGCTGGTTGTGTTCATAAGGACCATCAGGAATAATGGTCTGTTTAGGAACAACTATTGGATCAAAGGATGGGAAAACACCTGTAACGAGGGAGACAAAATAATGTGAATGATTCTAAATCAAAGTAGACACAAACACATAAAACCAATTAAATCATACTGACAGCAGAAAAATGGCCCAGGTGTGGGGAATTTCAAGCTGTGTGTTGGATAGAAGAAAAGAAGGCGTCCTAGCCAACCCATTGGACAAGAACCTGCAATAAGATCAAGGAATTTCACATGTGGCTTCTCGGTCAGATAAAGTATTACAAGTGGAAAGGTATTACATATAACTTAATCAAATTTCTTAGATTCTACTTAAATTGATTGTAACTGAGATGAAGGTATTACATATAATTGATTGTAACTGAAAGTGAAAGCAGCAAAATAAAGGAAACATGAAAGGAAGAAACATAAATAGAAAACCAGTACAAAATGAAGTATCAACAAAGTTGCGCCTCTGAAACAATCTCTGTTGTCGTTGGATCCTTGAAGATGTTGACATACGATATAATACAAGAGCTTCTGCCTCAATGCTCTCCCATGATACTGAGTTTGTAAATTCTATATCATCATCGGCAACCTCAAATTCGGGAAAACCAACATGTTCTGAAGTGGCTGCCCTTACTGCTGCGCCTGCATCTTCTTCCTCTGGAATCTCGGATACGGCAATCGATAAGGGATTCTCATAACTGTCCATGACTCTCATCCTTTTGGCCTGTACTAGTAAACCATCTCCCTCCCCCAAGTCAGTAACCATGTCACTGTCAGTATTATCATTTTGGTGTCCCTCAAAAAAATCCAGAAGTGACCTTTGCCTTCCTTGCCTCGTAGGAACAATGCTTTCTCTATTAAGCAATTCATCCTCCGACACACAGTAACCACAAGATCCATGATCCTGTTCAACAATAATTACATCCATCATGAGCCATAATCCATAAAATCGAAGATAATAAAAAATGACGCTATATTCTCATCAATGATGACAACATTCAGCAGGTATCAGGTAGTTTAGAGGCACCAAAATGATCCCTTATTGCAACAAAAACCAATAACTCAAAAAGCATAAAACCATATTAAATAGAAAATAAAGGTCATATTCATATAAATACGCCATACCCGTTTAACAGGGCAAACAAAAAAGTACTTAAACGCATGATCAGTGTTCTCTCTACCCTTAACCCTTCTACACACTCCAGCTCCACATTCACACTCAGGATACTTAAACACTGGAGGCTGCAAATCACTATCATCAACGCGATCATCGCACCACTTCACAAAATCTTTACACTTTGCCCCCTAATCAAACAAACAAAAATACATAAAAAATAAATTGAGAATCTGAAAAAGAAGAAACTTGAACGTCTTAGAAGGATATGCATATATACCCTTTTGATGGGGCATGCGTAGTACTTCCTGCCCCAGTTCCTGTCGCTGTGTGAGGGTTTGATCTCGCAAAATCCATGGCCACAACGACACAGTATCATGATAGGGGAAACTTGGGACTCGTGTTTGGGTGGGGATGAGAGGAGGGGCTTTTTGGGGCTGAGGGATTTTAAAGGACAATACCAAGACCAATGTCCTTGTTGGTGACACACGTAACATGTGTCTCCTTGCATTCGTTTTGCAAGGTTTGGAGAACAGCGAATGGGAATTTCGGGGGTACTTGGATGAAGTTGAACTCGTGATGTTGAAGGTGGAGGTGAGCGAGGCGTTTTCCTGTTCGGTTCGTACATCTTCTTGCTCCTTGTTAATTTCCCAGTGCAGAGTGAAAGGAGGTAGAGAGAGAAAAGACACGTTGGAGAGTGGCTGAGTGGGTTTTGTTGAGTTTTCGAGCAATGCAACTTCAGGGATCGGTGCTATGTTGGACTCCGCACAAAACGACAACGTCCGTCTCCTCCGACCAATGCGTTCATTTTTCCTTGTCTTACCGTGTTCTTGCACGAAAAATGATCACCTCGAACCTTTCGGACTGCCAAAGATTAATCAAATTCATTTTATAATTATTTTTGCCCTTTTGTTTTTTATAAAAAAAAATTGATTGATTAGTTAAATTTGAGATTTGGAGTAGAGGAACAGAGACATAGATTAAAAGTAATACATTATAGATCATGTGATATAAAAATTAAAAATGTTATTTGATTGCCTCTTTTTGCTTTTCTTGGTATAGATTTTTACTTTTCGCTTGTTATATGCACCGAATGTATAACGTTCATTTTTCATTTTCAAGAGCCTTTTCTCTCTTCCTTGATTTGCATTTCGCTGACGAGGTGCAATGATAAAAAAGGAGAGAAAATTTACGTGGAAAGTATCAATAATGGATGGCTTTTTATCACGGAGAGGGCCCAAATTCATAAATGACTTCGAATCTAGGCTGATTGAACCGATATTTTAAAAATTAATTTTAACAACAAAATGACATGAAAAGTTAAAACAAGAAACGCCACACACTAAAGCATGTAAACATTTCGGGTGTCACATTTTGCTGCCATCTTAAATTATTATTGTTGTTTTTAATCAAGTGAAATTAGTAATCCAATTATTTATTATCTCTAAATTTAGTTGGTGACCATCCATTTTAACAATAAAATACTATTATATTTAATTTAAATTATAATAATTATTTTACATTAGTAAAATAACATATATATTATGTAATATTGTCATATTAACCAGAAAAGTAAAAATTTATTTCATAACATCAAAACTTACACAAAAAATGACGCATTATAACAACAAAATATCCCGCACCATTTGGTATGTAGTCCTCCTTAGAAGAGCACTACTCACTCAATATTTTATTTATAAATAATTTTATTTTAAGATAATTTTTGTGTCTTGTGAATTATTTATTACTTGTAAAATTAATTATTATTATTAGAAATTTTATATTAATTGACAGTAAGATTAGTAATTTATTTAAAAAATAAATATTTTTAAATTTAAAATATTAAAAAATCAATTTAAAAAATATTTTTTAAATTTGTAAAGAAGTCTCTTATTTTAAAATTCATTTATAAAAAAATACTATTTCATCAGTCAACCATGAATCTACACGGTCTAGGACTATTTGCGCAGGTTATAGCCAATTCTAATGATTTTTTGGTATTTATTGATTAGTTGTTGATAGTTTGATAATTGCCACCGAATCCTTTCAAAGTAGCGTCTCTGCTCTGAAATGGTGACGAGGCATGCGCGTTTCCCTTTTGTGTCTACAGACAATGTTTATGCAAATCATGTTTTTCGTGACCGGAGACTGCAATGTTGGTATACTCAAACTTTGTAATTCAGAAAATTTGATACGTGGAACATTCTCGTCATTAAATTTATATTAATATATAATTAAATTAATAATAAAAAAATATTAATATTTTCTAATTTTTAAAAATATTAAAAAACTTACAATTATTAATTTAAAAAATATACTCTCTCAAATTTATAAATACATAATAAACATTAAATATATATTCTTTTTTTTATATTTTTATTATTTTAATTTTTAAATGTTTTGTTATTTTAGATTTTAAAATTTTATTTAAATTTTTTCGTCTATATTTTGATTACTATCAATTACTTTAAATTTATTTAATCACCTCATTTTTTTTACACTTCTAACTCCCAACCACTCTTAACAATAAATAAATATTTGTAGTTATTTTGATGCATTTATTTCAATATTTTATTAAGAGTATTAAATTTTTAAATACTTTTTATTTGACCAACACAAAATAATAATCTTATTAAAAATCATTAAATTTATATCTATAATTTAAAATTTAAATTCAAATTTTTTCTGTCACATGTTCAGTTCATTTTCTTTTTTAAATTTCAATCTAAATTTTCCTCACATCTTCTTTTCTCAACCATCGTATCTATATCTATAATTTGAAATTCAAAACTTTAATTGATCCACGTATCCTTTCTCTCCTTTAATGTTATACATGAACTTTTTCTTCTACGTAAACACAAGGTGACAAATTTTCTTTCATCTTCTTCTCCACATAGTCCTTTTATTCTAAATTTTTTGTTGTTTTAAATTTTTAAATTTTATTTGATTGTTTTACCTATATTTTGTTGATGATTAGTTAGTTTTAATTTATTTAACACTTTATATATTTTTTTCCCTGTTAACTCTCAATCACTCTTAAACTTTCAATGAAAAATAAATAAAATTATTGAAAATATAAATGGTAATAATTTATTCAAAATATGATAATATACTACATTAATTAAAATTTTTGTAATCTATGTAAAAAAATTAAACAATAAAATATAAAGAATGAAGAAAATATTAATAAATATATATCTAATTTTAATGCTATATTAAATCTATAATCTATATATAACGAGAGGTGTCTTTCTCTCTTTTATTTAATTTTCCTCTAAAAATTCACATCTTCTAATAATCAATCACATTTTTTAATTCAATTTAAATTTATTTTTTATTTTTAAGTCATTCTAATGCATTTATTTTAATATTTTATTAAGGGTATTAAATTGTATTAACTACTATCTCCTTGTCCAAAGATGGAGGTCCCTGTTCAGACCAAAGGATCAATCCCTTAGGAAAATTGTTGTCTGGGTTCGGATACCAGACTTACCTCTAAAGCTGTATAACGAAAAATTCCTTTGGCAAGTAGGTAGCTATTTGGGGTCAATGCTTAAAGTGGACCCCATACCTCTCTTGTGTTAAGAGGAAGGTTCACTAGAATTTGTGTGGAATTAGATCTTAGGAGGAAACTTATACCTTCCTTTAAAGTTATTGGTCAGGAGTTTCGGGTAGAGTACGAGGGGTTACACTAGATTTGTTTTAACTGTGGGCGCTATGGGCATCATGTGGATGTGTACCCTGAAACTCCTGGAGGAAACCTTGGCCTTAATGATCCCAAAGATTCCCTGAATACCCCCATGAATGTGGCTGGTAATGAACGAATTTCTTCCCCTTCTTTGAAACAGGATAATACCCCAATTCCCATAAATGAGATGCCCCATGAAAATCAGGGGCCTTTTGAACCTTGGATGCTAGTGAAAAAACCTTTAAGGAAAAAATTCCCTCAAAATAGATCTTTAGGAACTCCTAAAGCTGTTGACAAGAGCCATGTTCATCAATCAGGATCAAGATATGACATATTGGGTGCCTCTAGCTATGAGCAGGAACAAAATCAGAATCGGGAAAATAGGAATGAGTTGAAGCAACATGAGCAGGATAAATTGGGAAAGGAGATCTGCATGTCTATGACAAATCTCAATCTCTTAAGGATCCTGGTGGGGACCTTAGGCCGAGTACAACCACTAGGAAAACCCAGAAACCTAAACCTAGAGTCAGACCTGATAAACCTGTGGAGGATAAGGCTGCCCTCTCTCAAATTGGAGAACCTAACTCTCCTATTAAATTAGCTCAGGTTTCTTATCAGGATGATACCTTTCAATTGATGAGATACATCCAAAATGACATTATCCATAGTAATCCCAATGGAAGGTCTATCCAAGACCTTTTAGGTAAACTATAGGGCTAAACAGCTTCACTATAATACTAAGGAAGACGATCCTGGGGATACACCCCTGACTATAGATCCTCAGATGGAGGTTGAGTATAACTACATTACAGAATCTCAAGTTCCTGTTGTTTATGATGTTTCTTCTACATCAGAGCCCATCCATCTTAGTAGTCCACATCCTCAAGATGTACCCCATTAGAATTGTCTTAGGTATTATGAATTGTCTGTTCTGGAACTGTAGAGGAGTTGCTTGTAAAACCTTTCCTAGGTCAATTAATGACCTAGTAACCCTATATAACCTAGACTTTGGGGCTTTATTTGAACCCAGAGTTAGTTCTATCAAGGCTGATAGGATTATTGGTAGAATTAATTTGGATGGCTCCATGAAAGTAGACGTTGTGGGATACTCTTGGGGGATTTGGTGTTTTTGGAATACTTAGAGAGTTAAAATTTCAGTATTATCCACCTCAAAATATGTGATTCACCTTTTAGTTCAGAACATTGGAAAGGAGGATTGGATCCTTTCTTCCATTTATGTCAGCCCCCATATTAGCCAAAGATCTGAGTGTTGGAAAGACCTTATTGATTTTAGTTCTTCTGTTCATAGCCCTTGGTTGGTAGCTGGGGACTTTAACTCTATCCTCTTTGATTCTGAAAAGGTAGGGGGTAAATCTATTAAACCCTTATACTTAAGAAATTTTGTTGATTGCCTTAATAAGTATGAGTTAGTTGACCTTGGTTATAAGGGTAACCCTTATACTTGGAGAAGAGGTTCTCTAAAAGAAAGGATTGATAGAGTTGTGGCTAATGAGGCTTGGAACCTAGCTTTCCCATATAGCTCTATGGTTCACATTCCTATTCCTAAGTCAGACCATTTGGGCCTCTAGCTTAAGATTAGGAGTAGGGACCCCTTACCAGTTAATAAAAAACCTTTTAAATTTTTGGCCCCCTGGCTAACCCACCGAGTTTAACACCCAGGTTAGGAATTCTTGGAGACATGCTAGCTCTTGGAATGAAAACATTAATAAGTTTAAGGATAATATCTCTAGCTGGAATAGGAAAATCTTTGGTAATATTTTTTCATAAGAAAAAATGTATTTTTAGTAGAATTGAAGGTATTCACAATAAGTTAGCTTATGGCCATAATCCCTTTCTCTTTAATCTTCTAAATACTCTCTGGAAAGAATATCAGACTATCCTAGATCAAGAGGAAGTATATTGGTTGCACCATTGTAGAA